CGGACGACCCAGGCGGCAACGAGGCGGCAACTGGCGGCGACGTTGCGAAATCTCTACGGACCCCTCGAGCTGTAACGAGGCGACAACTGGCGGCACCGTGGTCAAGCCTCGGCGGACCTATACTCTATGGGAACGAGGCGACAACTGGCGCCAACGCAGCGACACCTCAGCGGACGCCCCAAGCGGGAACGAGGCGGCAACTGGCAGCAACATTGCGAAACATCGGTGGGCCCACCCCCCAGGCGGCAGCGAGGCGGCAACGGGCGGCAACGCTGCGAAACCTCGGCGGGCCCCTCGAGCGGCAACGAGGCTGCAACGGGCGGCAACGTGGTTAAACTTCCGCGGACACCCGAAAGCTGCATCGAGGCGGCAACAGGCAGCAACGTGGCGAAACCTCGGCGGACCTCCAAGCTGCCACGAGAGGGCTAAGAGGTGGCAACGGGCAGCAACGTGGCGAAACCTCGGCGGAACCCCATGCGGACACGAGGCGACAACCGGCGGATACTGGCGGCAGCGAGGCGAAACCTCGGCGGACACCCTAAGCGGAAATGAAGCGGCAACGGGCTGCATCGTGGCGAGGCCTCGGCGGACTTCCCACGCGGCAACGAGGCGGCAACTGGCGGCAACGTGGAGAAATCTCTACGGACGAAACCTCGGCGGACCCCTCCAAGCGGCAACCAAGGCGCAACGAGGCGGCAACGGGCAGCAACGTGGCTAGGTGGGAACGGGCGGCAACGCGGCGACACCTCAGCGGACTTCCCAAGCGGGAACGAGGCGGCAACGCGCGGCAACGTGGAGAAAACTCGGTGCCCCCCTAAGCGGCAACGAGGCGGCGACGGGCGGCAACGTGGCGAAGCCTCGGCGGACCCCCCCAAGCGGCAACGAGGCGGCAACGGGCGGTGACGTGGCGAAACCTTCCTAGGCCCCCCAAGCGGCAGCGAGTCGGGAACGTGGCAAAAACCTCGGCGGACCCATCCGATTGGTTATGACGCAAAAAACGCCTAAGAGCAAGGCTCTCCTCCTTCTCCTTTCCCTCCGCCTCCTCCTTTCCCAAGATCCCTCCGTGCTAAGACCGTCGTTTTCATGGCAAGGTCGAGATCCGAGGATCTTCCCAGCTGCCTGGGGTGCATATGACTTGGAGAACGAAGGGGATCAGGAGGTCGAAGAGCAGGAAGTCAGCATGAGAAATGGGAGGAGGGGGGGAAGGTGCGCGAGGAGCAGCGAGGGGGGCGGTGGGGAGGCATGAGGAGGATGGGGGGAGCTGCGCAGAGATCGGAGGGCGGGGGAGACCGGAGGGAGGGGTGGCCTTAGGTCGGGTATGTCTCCCTACAGGCGGAATGTGGACAAACAGTAAGAAAAACTCCCAACATGCTTGAAAATATGCAAAAGTACTACAAAAAAATGTCCCCACACCATTTTCGGACTATCTTTGAATATTCCTGCTGTAGAGGGACATGCCAGACTTTCAGGTGGCCTCGCCGACGACCACGTCCACGCAATTCACGAAGATGGCCGGTTCCGGGCCCACCTGGGACGAGACGGCTGTAATGGCACGGTTGGGAACGAGTTCCGGGGCATCCGGCGGCCCCCATTTCTCTGGAGCCCGCGCGGGGCAGCACGAGATCTCGGGAGCCTCGGACAGCACCATCGACCATCGCCATGACTTACGGTGGGGGCATTGGACAAGAAACCCTTCGGTAAGGAACCCAAGGTTTGGAGGCCGGTGGAGCTTCCATCGTGGACCGGCCATGGATATCACCGCCGCCCTCATCAGATAAGGAATCCCCCAGGCTCCGAAGCTTCCTGGGCACATTCCTGAAGGAACGCCCCCACCGTATTGTGAGACGATGGCAGGTTGATTCGGATGAGGAGAAATCGGCTTCGAGGGCTGGCGGGTCTGGAGAATGTATCGGGTGCCGCGGCCGTTCTAGAGCTGGCTGCCTACTAGACTACCCCAGGCCGACCCGAATAACCAAACTTCGTGATGAGGGGGGGTACGGGCTCCACATGCGTCTCTTCAATGTGCCCCGACGCCCCCCCCACTGGGAATGGGTGTCTCATTGGGGCCTTCTGGTTGGGTTGGGGTGGTTCGGTGGGTGGTGAAGAGCGCCCTGGACAGATCTGGAGCAAGTTATCCTACTCTCTTGCCGGCCTGGGGAGCGTCGGAACATAGGAACGGCACCGGATCGGGCCAGCCGAAGCTGGCACCGAGTCGCAGCGACGGGATTGAAATGGACTGGGCCCCGCTCCGCCCCCCGAGGCCGGCTCTCGCCCGCCAGGACCGCGCCCATGCGAGGGGCCGGGCGAGGGCGGGGCGGAGGCGGAGGAAGGGGGCTACAGTCAACCCGTATAGTAAGGATGCGCGATAAGGATGCAAGGGCCTTGGACGCCCATTTCGAAGCTTTTCGAGCGGGGCGAGGCCAGCGAAAGCGGCCACGAATGGACCGAGGAGGCAAGGATGCAAGGGGGTACCCTCGGGAAGGTTGCCCATCCTTACTATCATGGTTGACTGCAGCGTCCTCCATAAAAGGCGCCCGTGCACCGCGTTAGCTGTGGACTCCCCGATCCGGCCCCCCTCCAGCGCCGCACGGTGCGCGGCTGTTGTCGGCTCCTGGGGCCGCAAAGCTTCCCAGGCATGCGCCGCTCTGATTTTTGTCAGCACGGCGCCCCAGGGGCCCGGGAGGAGGAGGAGGAGGAGGAGGAGGAGGAGGAGGAGGAGGAGGAGGAGGAGAAGGAGGAGGAGGAGGAGGCGGAGGCGGAGGAGAAGGGGGAGGAGGAGGAGGAGGAGGAGGAGGAGGAGGAGGAGGAGGAGGAGGAAGAGGAGAGAAGGAGGAGGAGGAATGGACCCTTTCCCCGGGGCCGGTTTTCCATCCGGAATCGTTTCTTGGCGGCCCCGAGAGGCCCGGCAGGGGGCCCCCCGAGGCCGAAAAACGGCCAGACACCTCCCGCCCTGATTTTTTTGTTGTTTGCGGCGTGATCGTGTCTGGGTCTGCACCGTGCCGGTCCCGTGCCGGAGATCGACGACGCCTCGGGGGTGATCGGCGCCGCAGGGTGCACACGGAGGTCGTCCGCGGAGGACGAGGCCCCCCGTCGTGGGCCACGCGCTGGCGCCCGCACACGGGGAGCTCAGGGGCTGCACGGGCAGCCGGGGCGACTGCGGAAGCCTGCTGGTTTCGGGCGCCACTCCCAAGAGAGGCTCGGGAACGAGGAGGAAGGAGGCAACTACGGGGAGGTCTCCCTCGGAGAGATTTTAATGAGGATTAAGCCCCATCCGGGGGGGCTTTTACGCCGGAAAGGGCCTCGGATTAAGCGGGAGTGAGCCGGATTGAGCGGGACTAAGCGGAATCAAGCCGGATTAAGGGGAATTAAGCCGGATTTAGCTGGATTTCGGACCAAGGCAAAATCAGAATTTGATCTCCCAGGAATTGTATCCGAAGAGGAGGGGTGGGGCAAGAGGACTCGGCATGAGGCAGACGGGTCCTGAGGGAGACAGGTCCTAGACTTTGGACGCCCTGAATGGGTACAGAAAAGAGGTAGAATGCCCAACAACAGATGCTGTCCCAAACAAGCAGCGGCCGCTGTTGGGCAGGCGGCCTTCTGTCTCAAATGGCCACAGGCCGCGGCGGCGCGAACAGCGAGCCCCGTTCAAAAGGAACAGAAACTGCTGTTGGGCACTGCACCCATTCTTCCCGTACCCATTTCGTCCGTGCCTCTAGACCCAGCGACATGCCCCAAGATCAGCTCATCAGCAACAATCTCTTGACGGTCTCGGGGACCGCAAACGCCCAGGGACCCCCGCCCACCCCCCTAAACGGCAAGAACATTCAGGAGCGGTGAGGGGTGAGGCAGGAGGACCGTGCTATAACCAGCTCCGAGCATTTCCGCATCCCTTACACGGACAAGCCCAAAGGCGATGACAATGTTAGGGGAGCGCCCTGAGAGCCTCTGGGAATCCTTGAGGTCGGCATCGAGACGAGGTGACGCCAGTTTTGTGAGCGTGTTCTAGTTTGTTTATTCGGCGTTTCGGCATTGGGCGGAAGTGGGGGCGGAGAGGGGGGGGTCTTGCTCCGGACCCCTGCTTCGTGCGACTGCCTGCAAGAAAGCTGCCGCTGCAGGGGAATCCACCCGCTCGGAACAGGCGCCCAAAAAGACAGCCAAGATCTACACCATGGGTGGGGGGGAAGGGGGGGTGCGAGGGCCCGCGCCGATGGGCGAAACAATCAATGAACAACGATCACTGCAGGGGCTGGGCGAGCTATGTCTTAGGCCATTGAACCATTGATGCTCCCCTGGGCCACCACGCGCCGCCCCTCGGTCGTGAGGCCGCCCAGCCAGAGCCAGCGGAGCACGTGGCGCCCGGGGGGCATGTCGCTGGGGAGCGCGACCAGGGTGCGCGCCCACGTGTCCTTCCGGCAATCCTCGATGCTCCTGCTTGGAAGCGGTAAATTCCCACTATTACTTTGAAGGGGCTATTTGCTAAAGGAAACGCGCCTTTTGGTAAAGTGCTGTTGCTCTGTTGCGCGACCAACCGCGGCGGCGCGTCCGAACTGCCAAGCAGAAGAAGCGCAGGCTGCGCTTCTTCTGCTTCGGGCGCGGAGCAGCCAGGCTCAGCGCAGACCCGGCTCAACCAGTTCAGGGACACGCGCTGCTGTTTTTGGGAGGGCTTCCACTGCCAGCCTTAGGTCGGGCATGCCCACCTAGAGGGGGATCTTGGGCGAACAAAAATATTCTAAATATATTCAAAAAATGCTGAAGAAATCGTCCCAAAACTATGTTTTGATTTTTGTTTCAATATTCCCCCTGTAGAAGTACAGGTTTGACTTAATACCAGCCTCAGCCAACAAGGCCGCGAGCGGCTCCCGAACCTGGCGCTGCCAGATTCTGGCGCCGCAGGATCCTGCAAGATCTAGCGTTCTGGCTGAGCCGCGTTTGCGCTGAACCCCGTTAAGTGCGCCCCGATGGTTGTTGAACCCTCGCTTCGAGAAATCGAATATCGCTGAGCCCCCTCACCAGCTGGCATCAAGTGCTTGTCAATTGCCATGCCTTGCTGGCATGGGGCTCACACTGAATGTTGGTGCACCGGAACGACAGAAACCACGGCTCCCGCGAGTCGCGCTCTCGTCCGAGACTGCCTTGCAATGCGCATCCAGGGCTCTCGCTCGAAAGATACTCGGGAATCGCGAGCTCTCGCGAGCTCTCGCCGTTGGCTTCATCACGCATTACGCAATTCGCTGACCCTTCGGCGACTGTGAGACGCTGTCGTCGTCTTCGACGCTAGTTCCGAGGAGATTTAGAAACGAACATAAGCAAGAATCGTCGCGGTCAAAAGTCAATTCCTGACTACCGACCAGACCACCCCAACCCCACCCGAAGACCCGAATTTCGGGTTGGGGGGGGTACGGCTGGTTTCATCTGTGTATTTTCCCATGTTTCCCCACCCACCCCACACTGGCAATGGAGGGCAAATCGGGGCCTTCGGGTTGGGTTGGGGTGGGTTAGTGGGTGGTGATCCCTCCCCCCTTTCCCCTCCCTGAAGGTAGGATAGAGGGGGTGAAGGGGGGGGAAGATGGACGTATGCGGGGGGCAAGGTGGGGGGACCAGGGTCAGATTGCTGCCCCCCCCAAAGTGCCAGCGGCCCTCCCTCCCCTCCCTTGCCGCCCCTGTGGACGAAAAGTAAGGACAGGAAGGACAGTGAGGGGGGTCCCTGGCGGGGGGGTGTCCTAGGGGGAACGACAAGGGGGGGACTGGCATAGAGGGGGATGCATCGACCTGTAATCGGCGATACATCGCCGATAGATCGGCGATAGGCCTGCGATCGTGAATCCGCACCTTCTTGGGCAGACTGGGGCTATCGGGCCCCTATCGGCGATCAATGGGCGATGCGGGGTCGATGCATCCCCCAGCTATGCCTATCACCCCCTATCGTTGTCCATACAGTGGGGGGGGTCCCGGATCAGAACACCGCCCACCCGTGCCCAGGCGCGTCCCGGGGGGGGGGGCCAGCGGGGGTCCCCGGGGAGGTCCTGCCTCCAGGGTCAGCGGCACAGGCCGCAAGGCCTTGACAATGATGGATTCGTGTCCCGCCAGCCCGACCCGCCCGACGGGATCCACACGCCCGACAACCAGCCGACCGACCCGCCCATCGGACCCTCCCGTCCGACCTGACTGTCTTACCCTGTCGGGGTTAACCCAGAGCTTGCCCGAACAGAAAAACCCACAGGGGGCACGTTCACAAACGAGGAGGGTGGGAGGCGAATGCTTGGGGCGTACTGTGTACTTGTTGAACGGCACGAGGTACACGAAGAGTGAATAGTCTCACAATGATGGTTACTGCTGCTGTTGAGAGTCACCTCTGAAGAACAATACCTGTTGGTCCCATGGCTCAGTGCGACATTTGTCCTTCAGTTGCCATTGATGTGAAGCTCCCTTCTGGCTCTCGCACCTTGTGTTTGTAGAATGCGCCCAGGGCAATATCACGTAGGGGAACGCTTCCGCAGCGGCACTGCTTGGCATTGCGTGACAGTGCGTGGTATTGCTTCGCACTGCATTGCCTGGCCTGGCTGTGCATTGCTTTGTATTGCTTGTCACTGCTAGGCGTTGCCCAACGATGCTTTTTATTGGTGGCAAGTGCTTGGCATTCCTTGCCGCTGGTTTGCAACACTTGACATTGAACGGCATTGCTTGGCATTGGTAGGCACTGCATTGCTTTGCATCGTTCCGCGTTGCTTGGCATTAATGTGCATTGCTAGGCTACGTATTGCTTGGCATTGCTTTGCGTTGCTTGGCGTTTCTTGGTATGTCTTGGCGTTACTTGCGCGCTACTTCGCATGACTTGATGTTGCTTGGCTTTTTGCATGGCTTGACATCGCTTGGCACTTCGCATGGTTTGGCATCGCTTGGCATTGCTTGGCAATACTTGGCATTGTCTGGCATGACTTGGCATTGCTCGGCGTTGCTCCACATTGCTTGGTTATGCTTGTCGTTCCTACGCTTTGGCTTTCATTGCTGGGGAGGGTTTCGAAAGCAGGAAGGTCACAATCCTAGAGAACCTGGGGAAACCAGGGAATCCGAACAAAACGGGCGTTCCAAAACTATAGAGGGATGAGACATCCAGTGAACCCTGAGGAACGCCAGAGAAACTGGACCTTCAACAACAATTTGAAAAAAGAGACCTCCCGGGGATTCCCAAAGAACGCCACTGTAAAGAAACGTGGGGATTCCCCGAAAATGCTGTGCAAGCAAAAAAGACTGGGGAACCCAAGAGATTCCCGGCGCGACCCGTTCTGGAACCCATCGGTTTTTCCACGAACCAATGAAGATCCCTGAGGCAAAACCTTATTAGGGACAGGTCATGGGACGTATTCCGGCACCAACTGTGTTGATGGGCCCCAGACTACTTCACCGTGTATTCAAAGGTCGCGCTCTCGCACACGACATCCTTGCCATTTGCTCAAACGTCACGCTCTCGTCTATGAAACTGCTCGCGCATGATATATGGGCCGCGATCCCGTTGATGAGGACTCTTACTTTCGATCCTGGGTCTACTCCACATGAAATCAGGAGGGATCGCGCGCTTGCCAAGGAGATCCTCAACACATTTTCCAGGGCATCTGTCCGCGGAGGAATTGCACTCTCGCCCAGGACAGCCACAAAAGTTCCTTAAGGATTGTGCTCTCGCCCAGTACCTCCTCACGATTGAAACAAAGATCGCGCTGTCATGTCCCGTCCGCCCGACCCGCCAGGGCTCGCCCACCAGACTCGCCCATTAGCCATTAGGAACCGCGCGCCCGTCCTGCCCGTCACGGACCGCCCGCCCGGCCCGCCCGCTAGCGTCCGCCCGCCCGCCAGACACGTCCGTGAAGGTCCGCCAGCTGTTGCGCTGTCATGGTTTACGCACCAGCCGGGATGACCCCCCCCCCCCACATGGGGGCACGTTCACGCACGAAGAGGGTGGAAGTCGAGGGTTTGTGGCAACTCTGCGAGTTGGCCGACACACGAGCAACGAAATGCGAACATTCATATATTGAGTGTTGCTGCTTTATACACGACCCGCCCGCGACGCCCTCAAATGGGTTTGATACCAACAATCGGCGCCTGCGGTAAGCTAGTTGTGTCATGCGTCCCTCCATGACTCTTATCCGCAACGGTGAGTGGGTGGGGGTACGGCTTATTGAAGCACCGCGCAATTGCGGGTAAGAGGGGGGCAGCGGCGGGGTGGGTCGCAGGTGGGTTGCGGGTGTGTTGCGGAGTGGGTGGGTCGCAAGTGGTGGGTGGCGGGGGCGTCGCAGGCAAGGACGACGACAACAGCAACAATCCTTGTACGACTGTTCGATATCATCTGCTCGCGTGTCAATTACCATGTATATCCCATACCCTCGATACCCGAACTCTGCGTCTTCGATCGTACCCCCCTCGCGGGTAGATCTCCCTTACCTGCGACTTATAGCATAGCCCCCAAAACAGTAAGGAGAACGAGAAAGAACAATTGTAAAGAGGAGGAAAAGAGTGCAGGAAGGGAGGCCACGAAGGGCATCGACAGGGCCACGGGGACAGCAACGGAGCCGCGAAAGGCGACAGCAGAACCACAAAGCTGGGGGGCATCGATGGAGGGCGACGGGCAGCGAGGGGCGACTGCGGACCCTAACAGGCAGGTCGGGCTGGCGGACCCAGACGAGCGGGTCGAGCAGGCGGGGCGCTGAAGCGTGAGCCCTGCTTGAATGGCCAGGAAGTCTCCAGCCATAGCGCGATTCCCATGTGAGGACGTTAGACCCCAACAACAAGAACCCTCACCGCGGCGGCTCACTTCAAGCACGCACCCAGGGATGAGGTAAGACCGTGCGGACCACTCACTCTGACACATGTGCAGTCGGACCTAGGCCAGAAAAAAAAACATCCCTCAGTAACACGGAACCTTCCGCCGGCCAAAGCAAACAAACCATCCAAGGGTACCCTCCCCGGGATGCGCAAGAACGTTCACCAAGCACGACAAACACCAGGGTCTACTCACCGAGCCAGGCTCGATCTGATGCTTCGGTCCGACTGCAACTACCTATCATCCCATGACAAAAGCATGCCGGGGGCCCTCGCTCACCAGATTCGGCAGGCGCTCCCAGGAACGACACGGAGTCCCCAAGTGCACTTACCGAGGAGGGATCTCGAGATGGCACGGCGTGTCGCGGTGCCAACGGCCAGAGCTGCGATGATTATGCCGTGCCTGCTCCTCCGCACATTATCCTCCTACTCCGTCTCCTCCTCGCCGTCTCCTCCTGATCAGTCCTCACTTCCTCTTCTTAACAGGGTGCTCGTCATCCTTCTGATTCCTCCTCCCTCTTCTCTGCCATCCCGCTCCTACTCCACCATTTTACTCTAGCTGATCCTCCTTGTCCCCGTCCTCCTCCCTCACTCGCTGTCACGTTCATGTGTTCATCGTCTTCCCGTCTGCGCACCGGGCACTTTTCAACCCCCGGGTTCCAACTCCACGCGAAGGACCTGCTGAGCAGACGGAATACCGACTTGCCCCCGAGGCAGTCGGGGAGGATCAAGAAAAGGAGGGGAGGCAACATATCAGAGAGATGCAAGCTAGTGGGAGGTGAGGGTGGGCGACGCCAACTCGTTGGTTGACTGTGCAAACATCGTTCCAGGAGAACGAACTTCTTACAACGCAGCTTTGAACTGCACCTGGGAAGCGGACCCTCTAGTTACCTGGAGAACGAACTCTTCAGGCGCCAGCCCTCTGGGCGTGGGTGGTCTGAGGAGTTTCCTTTTCCAACCCCCTTCTTCCCCTCCGGGGAGGAGTTTGACCCTCCCCCTACTCCCTCCCCTGGATCTGGACGGGGCGCCCCGCGAGGTGTCAGAGGGCGCCTTGTCGCCCAAGATGGCTCCAAGAGGGACACAGAGAGCTCAAGATGACCTCTAAGATGGCTCAAGGTAGCCCAAGATGCCTCAAGTCTGCTCTCAAGATGCTCCAAGAGGCCACGGTAACGCTCCAAGACGGCCCCAAAACGCCTCCGAGACGGCTCCAAGGAGGCCCCGCACAAGCACACAGATGTCCAAAACATGCGGGGGGTCACTGTGTTTTGCTGTGTCGCTATTTCGCCGCCGATGGCCATCCGAGGCCGCAAGATGGCCCCACGATGGCCCAAGAGGGCCCCAAGCGAGACCTGAGATAGCCCAAAGACTGTTTAAAGCGCCCAAGAGCGCTCCAAGAGCGCCCCAAGAGGCGACTTTGGGGTCCCCCAAAATGGCCCCAAGAGAGCCCCCATGGCTCCCGGCAGCCTCAATCTGGCCCCAAGGAGCGCCCAGGCAGCCGCAAGAGGCGTCCAAAAAAGCCTCCGAAAAGCTCCCCAACGACCCCCTAAAAGGCCTCAAGAGGATGCCCGAGGCACCCGGGACGCTCAAAGACGGCCCTGGGCTCGCCAAGATGCTCCTTTTCCTCCTCCTGCTCGTCCTCCTCCTCCTCCTCCTCCTCCTCCTCCTCCTCCTCCTCCTCCTCCTCCTCCTCCTCCTCCTCCTCCTACCCCTCCTCCTCCTCCTACTCCTCCTCCTCCTCTTTGTCCACTGTCCCTTCCTCCTTCCTCCTCCTCGCCCTTCTCCTCCTTCTGCTCCTGCTTCTCCTCCACCATCTTCCCCATCTTGGTGTATTGGGCGCCCACCCCGCCCTTTGTTCTTCTGCATGTTCCCCCACTTCCCTGATCACCCCAACTCCCCTGGGCATCGTTTCTGGATGGGCTGGTGGGGATACTTGTTGGTTCGCAGGCTCGCGAAGCAGGTCGAAAACCGGGCATACCTAGTGCGGACCGCGCCAAGGCCAAGGAAACGGTGGGGATACCTTGTCGTGCGCGAGCGACACGCAGCAACCACGTGTCGTCAAGTAGCGAAGCAACAGCGCCACGATCTAAATTAGGCACTAAGCGCGCAGGAACGAACTACGCTACGACCCAGTAGGCGAAGAGGACGCTGAGGACCAGGTCCACGTAGAACGCCAATGCCGACAACCAAGACCAGGAGGTGCACCAGGTCCGCGCGCAGCGCCAAAATGGCGAAGTAGGCCTCCCTTGTTCCCGAAGACAGAGACAGAAAAAAGGTGGGGATACGCGAAGCGTCAACAATTCAGAGGCTGAGTGGAGCTCAGACGAGGGACGTGGGCGGAGGAGGAGAAGGTGAGAAATGAGGTGCGAGGCAGAAGGGCGGGCCCGGGAGGGCGGGTGGAGGAAGGTTGGCATGTAACAAAAAGGATACGGAAGAGGAGGACGTCGGGGGAACGCGCAAGCGCGAGGGGGCGACGATGATGAAGAGGAGGAGGAGGAGGAAGAGGAGGAAAACGAGGAGGAGGAGGAGGAGGAGGAATGGGAAAATGAACAGAGGGGAAGTGGAGGGAGAAGATGGAGGAGAAAAATAGATGAGAGGAAGAATGCTAGGAAAACGAAGATGCGGACGAAGACGAGAATCAGGAAGACTGCTGACATGCCGAATTGACGAAACCGTCTTGGGGAGCCCCACGGGTTGCCGACCTGTTGTCGTCGTCGATGCTGCAACGGTCCGTCTCGTGCGGAGTCACACCGTCCTTTCGGAAATACTCGGTGGCTCCATCATTGTTCAAGCTGATCCACGGCGTGAAATTCTGAAATGCCGCCTCTGTGAATCCAGCAAGTGGAGAAGGAGGGGGGAGGCGGGAGGGAGGGAGGGAGGGAGGGAGCGACGGAAGGAGAGGGAAGGGAGGAAGCTCAAAGATAGCAAGGCCAGAGTCCAACCAGGGGTGCGTTCTGAGCATGCAAGGGCGAAAGCGGTGGAAGGGTACCGGTATCTGTGTCTGCTCCCCCTCTGAGCGCGAGACAGAGAGAGAGAGAGAGAAAAAAAAAAAAGGATTGGAGCAGAAGAAATGAGAGAGACCTTGGAAGAGAGATGAAGAAACGGCCCGGCCCTCCGACGTCGTGATTTGTTCACCAAAACGGTTCCGAGGAGGGTTGGACCTCTTCCACTGAACCTGCTTTTCATCCCGAGCCCATGTTTGACTGTGCTGGGGCCTGGTGAAGGTCCCTGGAGGCTGAGCACTGGGAACAATCTCCAATACCCATATACAACGAGGGGGCGTCAGGGCTCATCCTCCGATCTTTCCTCGTCCCGCCCCTTCTCCTCCTCCTCCCCCTCCTCCTCCCCGTCCTCCTCCTACTCCAACTTCTCCATCTCTTCCTCCTCCTCCTCCTCCTCCTCCTCCTCCTCCTCTGCACGGAGCACGGGGGCTGAACACGGCCAACGCTCGCATCTCAGCGCCTGCAGGTGAGCGTTGTTTTTATTCGGCGTGTCGACGTTGGGCGACGGGGGGTTGGAGAGGGGGGGTGGTCTGGCTTTGGGGGAGAGACTCCACCCGCTCGAAACAGGCACCCCAGAAACAGCCAAGATGTACTCCATTGGAGGGGGGAGGGGGAGGGGTTGGGGGGCCCGCGCCGATCGGCAAAACGAGGAGTAAAAAACGATCACGAGGCCAGAGCATCTCCGCAGGGCTGAACCTAATGAAACGGTGTTTTTCGTTTTCGTTTTGTCTTCGTTTTCCCTCGCCTTTGTCTCGAGTCCGCCTCTACCGCAAAACGATGTCGAATCGAAAACGGCCCACGAAATCGCCAAAAACACAGCTTAGGTCCAGCCCTGCATCTCCGTCGCCGAGCCCCTCGGGGCGAGACAGTCCCATCCAGAAGCGTTCCAAGAACATGTCGTGGACACCACCACAGGTTTTTAGAACATTGCTTGGTAGACCTATAGGCACGCCAGGACGCTCCGCCACAACTCGACGAAGGGAGGCGGGCGGCCGCTGGGCCTGCCGGCCGTACCTCTCGAGGGGCCTGCAAGCCGCCGGGCACCGCCCACGCCCGGCGCGGTGATGCCCGAGCCGCCGAGCGGGCCCGTCGGGAGGCCACGGCGGTGGCGTTAGGTCGGGCCCGTCCCCCTGCAGGGGAGATCAGGATGCTCAAAGAATACTCCCCGAATGTTCAACAGTAGTCCCAAAAAGTCGTCCGAAAACTGCCCCCCAACAAAATGCTGAAAACTCAAAAATACTCCCAAATAAGCACTTGGGGGGAAAATAGGAACACTCTGAAAATACATCCGAACTGCTCAAAAACAGTATGTTATTTGGGGATATCCTTCCTGCACAGGGGCGGGCCCGACTGCACGAGGGCGCCGCCTCCCAGCTTGGAGCTCTGAGCCCAGCAGGACTCCCCCGCTTCTACCCCGCTGCCTCATGGCAAGGGGGGTGGGAGCGGAGGGCGAAGACGAGATCATGGGGAGGGGGGGCGGGGGTGGAGGACGAAGCCGCTGCCTCAGGGCACGGGGAGGGGGGCGCAGGGCGAGGACGAGATCGTGGCAGAGGGGGTGGAGGCGGAGGACAGAGCCGAGAGTGAGATCGGCGGGAACCAAGAAGATGGACCTTGAGGGAGAAACGGGCCGTGGGCTCGCATGCCCGCCACGCGGGGACCAGCTCTCCGTCCCTGGCCCCACGAGGCCGACGACGGCGAGAATCATCCAGGACCTCGGAGGCTGTGAGGCTGGCGCCAGCAACCAACATCGGCGGAGCACCTCCAACGAGGGAAGATCATTCCGATCTCGGCGATGGTGGCAATGCTCGGGCTGTCTAGGTGGCCGAGAGACAGATTGGCACCAACACCGAAATCTAGGATCCTCCTCCCCCAGTGGGCGCACCCCCCTGTTATGGTGTTGGTGCTCATTCCCAAGCCTCCAGGGACCAGTCTCCCTCAGGAACCCCCTTTTGCTTCGTGGCCATACTTGGCGCACCGCAGAAGCCCTGCGCCCAGGACTGCTGAAGTCTTACCTTTCCTTGCGCCGCCTCCCGCCCTCCACTCGCCCCGTGGTCATCGCCGCCGCGTGACCTCCGCCTGCTTCCGGTGAGGGGGAGGAAGAGGAGGAGGAGAAGGAGGAGGAGGAGGAGGAGGAGAAGCAGGAGGAGGAGGAGGAGGAGGAGGAGGAGGAGCAGATGGAGCAGAAGCAGGAGCAGGAGCAGACAAGAACAACCTGCATAAGCATGGCCAGTCGGAGGTCCGCGCAGGCTTCTCGGATCGGCGCTTAACCCCCATCCCTTGCGCGCGCAGCGAGCCAAGGACGGGCGGCTTCGCTCAGGCGGGGGGTCCAGAGCTTGGGAGGGGCGCTGATGGGGGCAATCCGCGTGGACATTCGAAAGTCGATGATTAGGTCGGGCATGTCCTCCTACAGGCGGAACCTACACAGGAAAATTGAAAAATTGCCAAAACAATACACCACAATAGTCAAACCATAATTTGAATCAATACCGTTCCCAGACTACTTGTGTGGACTATTTTTGAGTTTTCCTCCTGTAGAGGGACAAGCCCGACTTAAATCAATGATTACCCTGAGATCCTGGCGGCTCAACTTTTTCGAGTCGGGCGTTAGCCTTTTTGTCGGGCCCCGGAATCCCCACAGATCGATCCGGCTGGACAAGTGACGCAGAAAGATAAGGTCCAGGGCTCTCAGCGTGATCTGTCTACGATGTTGCAACTGTTTCGCTACGTCGGATCTCAGGGTCTGCTGCTTTGGCTTCTCCCGCGGAAGGACGCAAGCGGAGCAGCGGCAGCCAAAAGGTGAGGGCCTGGAGGGGGGTTCAGACTGCTCTGCGGTTGGGGGAGGAAAGGAGGAGGAGGAGGAAGAGGAGGAGGAGGAGGAGGAGGAGGAGGACGACGAGGACAAGAGGGGAAGGAGGAGGAGGAGAAAAAGTAGGAGGAGGAGGAGGAGGAGGAGGAGCTGATCCCGAGCCTCGCTCTCCTCGCCGGGGTCCGCCCGCTGCGCCTCCCACCGATAGGCCCCGTTGTGGTCGGCCATGATGACGAAGTGGACGGGGACCGCGTCGCCTGGGCACAGGACCTCGTGCTTCGCGGGAGGAGGAGGAGGACGAGGAGGAGGAGCAGGAGGGACGAACGACGAGAATCGAATTCCACGGATCGCAGCTTGTGGACCACCGGGAAGCCTCTCGTCGCCACGTCCTGGCCAAAACGCGCCTCGACGTCCTGGCCAGAACGTCCTGGCCAGAACGCGCCCTTGGGCTGGTCGGGGGGTAGACGGGGGAAGGAGGTGGAACGGAAATCTTACACGTCGGTCGGACGAAGTAGGTAGAAACATGGAGTAGGAACGCGTTGGAAGTAAATTGGGCTTCCGTCCACCCCCTGAAAAAGGAAGGAACATGTGAAACCACTCGATCACTGAAGTAGGAAGGCGTCTAACATAGATTTTGGATTAGGGTGTCCAGAAATCCCTACTTTCAACGACTGGCGTGTAGGGCTCTGCAAAGAAAGACCAATGCCATAGCTCCTCTCGCTGCGGGAAAAAAGCACGGGATTGTTCTTGCTTGTTCATTTGAAAACTGGTTTTTTGACCTCCATGCTTTCGCTTTTTAATTCACAAACGGCTTTCTGAATTTAGGAACTCGTTTATTGAATTCAAAAAACAATTTTTCAATTCAACAAACCTGCCTCTCTAGGCCCTGAAGCTGCTACAGTATGCTATGAACCGTGTTCTGTCTTCGCAGGTCAGGATGCGTTGTTAAGTTGCGATGTTATATGATATACTCTGACATGCTATTACATAGTATACAGTACCACGTTGTGGTGGCACGCGGTGTTAGGGTATGCGGTAGTATCATATGTGATGCAACGATCAATCATTGTATATGTTGCCGTGGTCTGGAATGACGTGTCATGTGATGCTGCGTTACGATGTGATCAGATATGTCAAGCTTTGTTATGCCATGCCATGGTATCATATATGTTAGTATGATCTAGTGTTCGATTGCGTGTGGTGGCATGCGATGTCCGGTATGATCCATACTGTCATGGTTTATGGCGTCATGCTATGCGGTGATATGATTGATCACGCTGTGTTGCATCGCGTCCTGTCATGGCACATCGTGCCATGCAATGTACTGGTATGTGATGGTATGCTGTTCTATGGTATGATACATTATGCCATGGCGTGCTAGGTTGTACTATATGGTGCCATGCAATGTTATGGTGTGTTAAGTGATGTCATGTTATATGGGGTATGGTGGTCTGATTGCTTATGTATGATCCGCTCGGGCATAACATGCGGTGTTATGACGTGCTGTGGTACGGTATGTCTTGCCATGTCATGTTACCGTATGCTACGTCATGTTACGGTGTGCCATTCGATGATATGAGGTGGTATGTTATGCTGCGTGATTGTATGACCCATGATGTACGCATCGCTATGTCGCAACATGCGCTGCTAACACATGTGCCTTGTTATGTGACGCTGTGTCATGTTATGGCCTGTCCTGTCGTGCTATGTTATGACCTGCTATGCCATGCTATCGCATTCTCAACTCTGTCAAATTCTGTCGTGTTCGTCGAGAGCGCGAAGCGGGAGTCTCGGGGGACACTCGGTAGACCTGGGGATCTGGCGGTCGCGGTACGCAGATTGCGTGGCAGGGCGCGAGGCGGGAGTCTCGGGGGACACTCGTGGACCTGGCGATCTGGCGACCGCGGCATGCAGAGTGGACGGGTCGGGAAGCCTGTTCTTAAAATCTGGCACACCCGACCTGTCTGGTGGGGAACATCAGCTTGGGATGAACAAACAGACGCGGGAACACGGCCAGACCTCTAGGGGCCCACGTTGCGAACACAAATAACACCACCAACAACAACAACAACAACAACAACACCAACACCAACAACAGCAACAACAACAACAACACTAACAGGGATACGGGGGGAGGTGGGAGAGCATGAGGGGAAACGAGGGATATGAGGGGATACAACGGAGGAGGAAGAGGATGAGGATGAGGAAGAGGACTGGGAAGGACGGAGACCAAGACCAGGATGGCAACGATGTTGAGGAAGATGAGGAGCTTGGCGAAGTGGAGCAGGCTAGATAGGAAGACGGCGCCAGGACTGGCCGGGTGGCGAGAGCCCCAAAAGGAGAGCCTGATCACTGAATCATCCCCAAGGAGGCCCTGGGCCCAGGGCTCGCCTTCGTCTCTGCATCTGGCCAAGAAGACTGTGTAACCAATAGGGCCCGACGTAAAGCCGCCGAGCATACATTTGACAATCTGCAACCATCGGATGTGTTACGTTGCTGACCATATTAGAATGAGGCGGGGCATCCCTGGGGGGCATTGCTTTCCAGCCACGTCGAAAACCTTCAACTATTGGCTCGGCCTGGCTAATTCCGCTGCCAACGCCCTTGCAAGCAACGGGGGGCAGATCGCACTGCTTTGGCCCAGGGTTGGGGCCATGCTTCATCAACGCCCTGGCACCAACCAAAGAGCGACAGCGATACCCGCCACCAGGGAAAGTCCAACTAGGACAAGCAAGGCAAGTCGGCCCCTCAACAGTGCAAAGTCTTTCAGTGGAGGATCCTCCAGGATCAAATGGAAGTGTGAGTCCACCAATCCCGAGACCGTGAAAGGCGAGACCACAACATATCTGACCTTGGAGATCATTCACAGGTAAGTCGATGCCGAACTGGGCGCTGAAGCTTTCATCTCCCGACATGGATAGCGAACATGTGAATCGCAGCTCCAACGAAACGCAGCGGAAAACTGGCACTTCAACCCCTGCAGGTCGTCCCACGGCTAACACCAACTGTGAAGCAACGGGTTGACAAAGACGGTGCGACTTCAGGCAATACGTGCGGCCAGCGGGTCACACACGGAGGTACCAGGGGTCACAAATCTGATGCCGTCCTCAACAACTGCGAGATTATCATATCATGTCCGTTGTTGCCGAATATTCTGAAGTTCTGGAGGGCGACGCCAACGTTCGCCGTGGAATCGGCGGCGATGGCGGCGACCTCGGCCCCTGCAAGCTCGGCCAGCGAGGACTCAGGGCCTCCGCCTTTCGGGACACGCGCGCAACACGTCGGAGCAACTCACCGCCACCAATCGGTGCACGGTGCTGCCTTGCTCCGGAGCGGGTGGCAAGAATACACCTGGGCCGGTGCCATGGCTCAGCCGCTCCTCCCTCCTGGCAGCGTGCTGTCGGCTTACCTCCACGCCCTCAAGCTCTACGCTTCAGCACCTCGACGCCGACCGCGCGGCATGCGGGAGTGCGGCGTGCCGGCGTGCGCCAAAGCTCGCCCTGCGCGGGCTGCGGAGAGGCTGCTTCCCACCTCGTTCCCACAACGTCAGCCCTATAGTTTGTGATGCTGACGTCATCGTCCAGCGCTTCGGAAGCCGACCTGGCGCCCGGCGCCCGGCGCCCCTCCGGAGTCCAATGCAGCATTCTGCCTTGGACCATCTGCCGTCGGTGCTGCTAGACACTGCCTTGCACCATTGCCTTGTGCATCGAACGCGCGAGGCGGAAGACAGGGACGATCAGATCACTTAGCGTCTTGCAGCGCTCTGGGTCCTCTCGTTCGGAGGGCTCGACGGCAGTTCCCGCGGGGCCTGCCAAACCAAACCGCCAGCAGTAGTCAGCACGAGTCAGAAAATCACCGATGCCAATCTTTGGGGGGGAGTGGGCTTCTGACAAGTTCCTGGCCGCCTCATCCTCAACCTCCTCCTTCTCTTCCTGCCCCCTCCACCTCTGCCTCTAGCCCTCCCACCAAATTGTACCTATCCCTCGTCCTTCTCCTCTTCTTCTCCGAGCTCTCCCCCACACTTCCTGCATCCTCCCTCCTCCCCAACCTTCATCCCATCTTACCGTCCTTAATGTCATTCTCACCGAGGTCCTTGTACTCCCTGTCACACCTCCCTTTTACCCATCAATTTTTCATACTTACGTCAGCGTACTCATTAATTTTCAGTATCCCTTCTACTCCTACCCCTCGTACTCCCTCTCTCGCTCCCCTTGCCCCTACCTCTTCTCTGCTGTGCTGGCCGCAGGCAAGTACATCGTAGTACGCGTGGTGCCAGACAAGCAGGAGGAGCAGGAGGAGGAGGAGGAGGAGGAGGAGGAGGAGGAGGAGGAGTAGGGTGTTGTGCAGTCGTCGGTTCCACGCTGCGGTACACCCCGTGAGTAGTGAATGGGGCTTTGTGCTCCCCCCACGGCGGGCCTCTCGGTCAAGAATCGGCTCTCCAGCCCCGATCTCGGGAGCCGAAGAACTTGCGCGTCCATTCCCTGCGGGGAGCGTTTTCTTCCTAATTCGGCGTTTCGACATTGGGCGGAGGGGGAAGGGGGGAGGGGGCGGGGTCTGGCTCCGGACTTCTGCTCAGTGCGATTGTTTGGGACCGTGCGTCCAATGGGGGGAGGCTCCACCTGCTCGAAACAGGCACCAAGAAACGGCCAAGATCTACGCCATGGGGGGGGGGGCGAGGGCCAGCGCCGATCGGCAAAAGAATGAGTCGAAAAGCGCTCACGTGCAGGTTCCGGTGTCGTGCGCGTGTTCTTTGCTAGGATGCTCCTCGATGGTCCTCGCCGAGATAGGGTGCACGCGTCACAACGATGCCAAGGGAAAGCCACACCCCCTCATGCATCCCCAAAAGGGTCTTAGCGTCAGGAATGTTGCTTCGACCGTCGCGGCGGCGCCGCCTGCGACACGCTATGCCTTGGAAGCTGCTGTTGTGCCGCTGAGCTCGGAACGTCGTTGCTTCGGGGGCTGGTACGTGCTCAACGTGGCGCGCCGAAGCGTGAAGTTACGTGTTCGATCATGGACCCATCGCCACGCATCCTGGCCCCTGAGGACCCCCGAGAGCCCGCCGAAGACCGCCAACGGGCGTGCGCCACGCAGCGGGCGTTGGGGCCCGACACAGTCTTAGGCGGTCTTTCGGCGGTCGTCGGCGGTCTTTCGGCGGTCTTTCGCGGTCTTCGGCGGTCTTCGGCGGTCTTTCGGCGGTCTTCGGCGGTTTTCGGTGGTCTTTCGGCGGCGTTCAGCGGTCACGACGGCGGCCCGACACGGTTTTCGGCGGTCATCGTTGCGAAAGCAGGATACTTCGTGTTAGCAAAGGGTTCATGATCGAACACGTATGTGCAGGGCCACAACAGGTGGCGCGACACGCTAAGCACAAGCTTCGGGCCGTAGTTCAGCGTCTCGATCGTTCGTTGCAGTGTACCGCGCCGACAGAATGCGCATTTTGCCCCAGAAACGTCGCTCACGAGGTGTATTGCACGCGCCGGCTCTGTTACGAGCCTCACAAATCCCACCAGCCCTCTGGACGTAGGTGGTTGAACGAACTTGCGTCTTCTCTCTGCTCAGATCCCTCCTTCCCCAGTTCGGGGGAAGGTGTTACTGCTCCCCTTACCATGGGCCTGGAGGTTGAGGGAGGGGGCCGGCCCAGGGTGTCGGGGGGAGCTTTTTGGTCCAAGATGGTTCCAAGAGGGCCTCCGCGAGCCCAAGATGGTCTCAAACATGGGTCTGGGTGCTTCAAGATGGCCTCCGACGCACATCCAAGAAGGACTCGAGCTGGCCCCGCGAAGGTTTCCAGTGCCCGCTGAGCCCTGCGAGAACCCCCCCCCAGGGGCCAAAATGGTTCCGACACCTACGGGCAATCAATGGTGTGTGCCTTCTCGCGCTTTCGCTTCCGATGGGCGTTTGAGGCCTCAAGGCGGCCCCGAGACGGCCCAAGAGGGGCCGAAGAGGGCCACAAGAGGGCCCCAAGAGCGCCCAAGGGCGGCCCAAGAGGACCCCGGGCGCCATGTTTGAGCTTCCGAGAGGGGGGGGAGCCGAATTAATTACCCCCCCTCTTTCCGAGCCATGGGGCCCAGCATGCCTCCCAGGCCCCTCCAGTGAGCCCCAGGAAGGCCCCAAGACTTCCAAAACGAGCCCGAAGATGGATCTTCCTCGTGCCGCATCCCTCCACCACCTCTTCTTCGTCCTCCTCCAGCATTTCTCTTGTTCCTCCTCCCCCTCCTCCTCTTCCTCTTCCTCCTACCCCCAAGATGGTCCCAGGAGGTCGAGCATGGCTAAAAATAGCCTCCGACAAACCTCCAAAAGGCCTTGATACAGCCTCAAAATGGCCCAGGACGGCCTAGCATGGCTCAAGATAGTGTCCGACAGCTTCTAGCCAACCATGGCTCAAGATAGCCTGACAGAGGCCTCAAGAAAGCCTCCGGTCGTGTCTGGATGGGCAGGTGGGGATATTTATTGGTACGCGGGCTTGCGAAGCAAGTCGCAAGCCGCGCAGGACGGGCGGGCTACGCGCCGACGGAAAGAACAAACAACGAGCAAGAGCGACCCCATCAGAAGCCCCGCTGAGCTCAGCTCATCGTGGCCAGAATGGCGCGGAATCAGGACCCGGTGACGACTTCCCCAGGAACAGACATAACGTCGGCACACCCATAGCAGCAAGGCAGCAAACCCTGGCTGTTGAGGATACATTTTGTTCGCGAGCGCGCAGGGGTGCCAGGCGCCGTCACGGAATTGCCCACTAGCAGTGGCCTAAATTACCCACTAAGTGCGCAGGGGCGGACTACACTGCGTCTCAGATGAGGGAGACCCAGAACAACTCCAGGCCAACGTGCAGCGCCAACATGGCGAAGAGCAAGATGCCGTCGAACCCGGAGACCAAAAAAGAATACGTAGAGGGCGATGAACAAGGTTGCAAGCGCTCGACGGAAGTGTTCCGGAACGCTAGAAAGGGGGGAACGGTAGCGCAAGCGTCACCAACGAGAACGACGGGCGGGCGTGCAGGCGCTCAACGGAAGAGTTCCGGATCGCCAAGGTGAGGGCGGGCGGAAGTGGCGACCACGGGCGAGTCGCAAGCCTGAAAGTCCATGGACACGCCGCAGGAAGGGGCCTGCGGACAACCTCAGGGCGCCCAGAGCGGCCGCGGAGAGGGACAAATATACAGCCCGGCGACCAGGGTCGGGGGGCTTTCCCAGCGACCTCAGGCACAAGCACAAAGGTAAGGGGGGAACCATGGCTGTTGGGGATACTTTTTTTTTTTTTGATCTGCGGCCCGCAAGGAAGAGTCCAGAGGGCGGCTGTAGGGGATACGCGAAGCGTCCAGAATTCAGGAGGACCCCTTCTTCCTCATCCTCAACGTGCATATTTCCTCCACGTGCATGTGTATCCCTCCTCCTGCCTCCTCCTCCTCCTCCTCCTCCTCCTCCTCCTCCTCCTCCTCCTCCTCCTCCTCCTCCTCCTCCTCTTCCTGAATATTTGCCTCTGTACCCTGGTTCCCCTCCCCCCCTCCCCTCCGCCCCCTCCCCCTCACCTTCTTCATCCGCCCCTTCATATTCCGGGAGGTGGCTCCGTTTCCCTGGATGACCGGCGCGGGCTGGTCAGGGCCCCCCTCGTCGATCCAGAAGTCACCCTCTGGCGTCCTCAGGCTCTGCATGTCACCGAACCTGGGTAGGAGGGAGTGGAGGTGGCAAGGGAAGGCTCCACGAGGAGGTACCCTCCTCTTCTCAAATTGGAATGCTAATCATCGATGCCGCTGTTGTTGTTGCTTGTGTACTTCGAGCCCACGCAGCCAATTAAGACGAAGCCAGGACGACGAAAAATTCGGGTGAGGATAAATCGATAATCTCTCAAATCTGGCGGAGCTGGAAGATGTTTCGGGCGCCGCGGCCTTCCCAGAGCGTTCCAGAACGCCCTGAGAGCGTTCTGTAACGCTCTGAAACGGCTTGGTCCCCGTCCTAGCTCCGCCCGACTTGTGCCCTTCGAACCCACGCAGCCTGTCCCTTGCCACCCGCGTGCCCGGATCCGCGTCCCAGCACGGCGAAGGTGGCAGGCAACTGGACGTCTTCAGATCGCAGAACTGCTGGGTCCCTTGGCACCACGGGCACCAGCCACTGTTGACCTTCCCGGCCCTTTCGCCTGCTCATCCTCCTCCCCTCTCGAGGGCGCACTGACCCGTGTCAATGCAAACCCGGTTCAGTTGGGGCCTCACAAGATCCTGCAAGATCCTGCGGGATCCTGCAGGCTAGCCTGGGTCGGTGCAGACCTGGCTCGCTCTGCAGGATCCTGCAAGATCTGGTGCTGTGGCTGACTCCCGTCTGCATTGACCCCCGTTTCAAGGCTCCCGACCCTCGACTTCCTCCGGCCAGCGGGCTCCTGACCTCTCCCACGCTTATCCTGCTCATCCTGTTCATCCCCTCTTCTCCGTCCGCCCCCACCTTGTCCTACACCTCTCGCTCCACCTGCTGCTGCTGATCCTCTTGTTTCTGCCCATCCTGCTTCACCCGCGCCGCTCCCATGCCACAGATGCTGGTCATCAGGTTCCTCTCGCGCCTCATCATCTTAGCTGCCCAGATACGCAACACGCGACACGTAGCGGACTGATACGGAGCTCCACAAGTAGTCTGAACACGTAGGTCTGATGCGATACGTTCGCCAAATTGTGGGCCAATAAACTGAGCTTACACGCGAATTATTGGCCACGGACGTTCTAAGCACGGTACGTGTTGCGTTGCAAGAAGGGCGTGCCGAGGCAGCTAAGATACTGGTCACCAGGTTCCTCTCGCGTCTCCTCCTCCTCCTCCTCCTCCTCCTCCTCCTACTCCTCCTCCTCATCCTCCTCCCTCCCCCCTCCCCCCTCCTCTTCATCCTCTTCCTCCTCCTCCTCATCCTCCTCCTCCTCTTCCTCCTCCTCCTCCTCCTCCCTCCCCCCTCCCCCCTCCTCCTCATCCTCCTCCTCCTCGTCCTCCTTCTCTTCCTCCTCCTCCTCCTCATCCTCGCCATCCTGGGTTCACCCTCCCCCCCCCCCCCTCGCACTCCTGCGCTCCCCGTCCCCCTCGCCCTCCCTCTGCGCTCCGCACGGGCGTCGGGCGAGATCCTCTGAGCCCCCACGTCCTCCTGGCGACCCTCCCTCTAAACCTTCAGCTCCTGCAGCCGCTGCCCCATCCATGCTCGATCCATTGAAGGGGCCCTGGGACACACAAATGAATACACACATTAAAAGGATTCCCCATATGTTCCCATATTCTCAAGTTGTTTGCCCCCCCCCAACTTCCCGTATTTTCCCATATTTTCCTAGAAGTGGAGGATTAGTTGTGCCTGTGTGTGTTTTTTCCCCTCCTGATCCATGCCACTGTCTTCCTGGTTCACCGTGCCGTTCGCCCTCCCTCCTGGTGCTGATCCCCCTCTTCCCAAGGCCACGCGAGACTGGCGAGGTTGGTGAACGGCGATGCTGGGAATATGGTTTTTGCGACGCCGACCTCGCGCTGAACAAAGTGTAGGAAACCACAAGTAACGCGTTCCTCAACTTGGGTTGGCCACGAACCACCCCAAACTACAATGACGAAACCTACTTCGTTGTTGCCTACATCGCCGTTAGCGTGTCTACGGTGTTCCTGCTTCTGCTGCACCTGATCCTCGCCCGCTTCCTCCTCATAGTCGTCCATCAGCACCCGCTCACGCATCCTGCCCCTTGACATCCTCCTCCTCCTCCTCCTGCTTCTAATGTGCCCCTTCCTGATGCTCCTCTTCCTGCTGCTGCTCCTCACCACCCTCCCAGACGATTGATTTTGGACCACAAGCCACAAACGGGCGGCTTTTTGCCCAGGCCCCCCGAAAACCTCCAAGGCAACTCAAAGCCCCCCCCCCCTCACAAAGCAGGCCACCCTCCTTTGGAATTATGAAATTCAGAGTAGCCGAACCCTTCCCTGGCCCCAGCCCTGGGGGAACCAAAAGGTACCCATACCGCTACTCCCCAGACCTCTCACGGCGAGCGTTCCGACCAGAAATTCGAAGCGAATCCAGCGGTGCCGACGAGGGCCTCCCAGGAACCCCAAAATGAGGAAAACAAGGGAAGGGTGGAGGTCGACCACAAGAAACCCTCCAGAAGAAACCCAATCTTGAGACCCCAGCGCGACCATGGAATGTTGGTGCGGGAGCGCCGCGCTTCCCATGGCAAAGCCATCGGAACCCACGACACCCCAGGCACCCTGGAGGCAAGCAGGGCCTTTTTTTTTGGCACGGGTTTCCACTGTACCTTCCCCTCCCCTGAAGCCCAGGACCCTCAGACCCACGGGTTGTGGCGCATGGCCGGGCGGGTCACCGCCGCATGCGGCTCGGCGGGTGCGGGCGCCCGCGCCAGCAGCAGCAGGCCGAGCCCGGCCGCCCGCGCGCGCCCCCGCATGCCGCGCCGCCGCGCCCCGCCCGGCGCGCGGGCAGCCACGGCCGCCCCGCGCGGCAAGCCGCGAGGCTGCGTGCCCAAACACGCAACGCCCAGAACAAAACAAAAATCCGGACAAGTGTTTTCGGGGATGGACAGAACCCCCTTTAGCAAAACGTGGTTTAGTGAAAACGACCTCGGGCCCAAACCCGGCGGGCGCAAGCCTGGAAAATAACGGCCACGGCGCCCTCTCGAAAGCCGAAAACGGACAATTCACTAATCGACGTGTCACTGTTGGGGGTTCTGTCCAGCCCCGATGTTTGGGATCGTTTTGGGCCCTGGTGGCCCTCGCCGGGCCGCGGGGCCGTCGCAGAACGGCCCAAGAGGGAGAGCCAGGCTCGGGGAACGGGGCGGGACTTCCGGGGAGCCCGTGCGAAACAACGAGGACATCGCATGTCCAGGTGCGTGCTCGGCGACGGACCATGGACCCTTCCTTCTTGCCCATGGGTCGTCGGCGAATCTCGGCGGTCTGCGGCGGTCTTCGGGGGTAGTTTCGTAGTCTAGGGCGGCCTTCGACGGTTCCTTGCGGTCGTCGGCGCGCAAGCTGCTGGACGGCTGCGTTTCACAAGGGCTCCGCGGCTCCGTGGTCGAACACCAAGCGTGAGGAGCTCTCGCCGTTTGGCGAAACGTCCTCGAGCCAGAAAGACTCGTCTCGGACTTCCCCTGATCTCCTCGCGTCGCCAGATTTTGACTGGACTTGTTTGGCTCAGCCAGACAGCAAGCATCCCAGGATGGTCCCGGGGATACTCCCGCCAGCCCTCTGGGCGTGAGTGGTTTTGGTCTGTTGCTTGTATCGTCCCTTCCTTCCTTTTTTGAGAAGGTTGCCGTCACTGTTCCCCATGAATCGACACCCCCCCATCCACCAGGCGACTGGCAGTTGAGGCCCCCCCAACGATCCCTGTCAAGAAGCACAATCAACATCCACTCTCGGTCAAAAATGGGGTCACGACCCAGGGGACCGCGAGCACTTTGTCAGACTGAGGGGGGCGAACGGTAATTCACTGTCCCCGGGCGCGTGGATGAACCTCCTCCTCTCCTCCTCCTCCTCCTCCTCACTCCTCACTCCTCACTCCTCACTCCTCACTCCTCCTCCTCCTCCTCCTCCTCCTCACTCCTCACTCCTCACTCCTCACTCCTCACTCCTCCTCCTCCTCCTCCTCCTCCTCCTCCTCCTCCTCCTCCTCCTCCTCCTCCTCCTCGTACCCTCCTCCCCCCGCGTGGGCCGCTTTTCTCTGCCTCAGAGCTCGCCGCGCCCCTGCGCGCCCCCCCCCGCGCCGCACGCGCAGCCTCCGCCGCAGCCCCCGGCGGGCGGGGCCCGGCAGCAGTCCGGGCACGGGGCGCACCCGCCGCCGCCCGGGTCGCAGCGCGTCCCTCGGGGGGCCAGCGGGCGGGCGGCACCCGCGTCGGGGCAGGGGCCCAGGCCCCCTCTCGAGTCCTGCAGATGACACGGCGGGAGGTCTTCCACGATTTCCCGCCTCCGGGGCCCTCACTGGCCCTCCGGGGGCCCAGACCCCCTCTCGAGGCCTGCACATAAGACGACGGGAGGTCCTCCACAATTTCCCGCCTCCGGGGGCCCTCACCGGCCCTCAAGACCCTCAGAAAACGACTCGGGATGAAAACCTGGTCCCGGGGAATGGGTCCGGACTTCCAGGGACGCTGTATGTCAACGTCTGCCCTCCGAAGGATTAGAGCGTCCTCGCCCAGTGTTCGTGCTGTATCGTTTTTGCATTCGCTCCGGCCGGATAAAGATACGACAAAGACGATGGAAAAAGAGCGCTTAGAGAGGACGATGACAAGAAGACATCGAACAAATGGAGATACATAAACAATTCCTCATTTTAGATGCTTCCGTCCTGAAAAACTCAGGGACCCGCCAAAAACGACTCGGGATGAAAACCCGGTCCCGGGGAATGGGTCCGGGCTTCCAGGGACGCCGTCCTGAAAAAATCAGGACGTCGGGGGTCTGGGGGCGGGCAGCACCGCGTCGGGGCAGGGGCGGAGACTGCGGGGCGGGGATTTGTGCACAGCACAGCCACCGCCCGTGGAGCCGGCGCCCCGGGGAGCGCAGCGGGCGGTGGGTAGGCGGAGGAGAGGGAGGAGGAGGAGGAGGAGGGGGCGGAGGAGGAGGAGGAGGAGGAGGAGGAGGAGGAGGAGGAGGAGGCGGGAACATTCGGCGGCGCGTTTCACACCGGAGGGTGGCCCCCCCCCCAACACTCGGCGCCGTCGATCAAAACCAGGGGGACTCAACTCCCCCAACCCCCCCCAAACCCCCCCACCCCCCTCACCCCCTCGGCGCCGGCGCCGGCGCTGGCGGCCCCCCACTCCCTCGGTGCCGGCGCCGGCGCTGGCGGCCGCCAGCAGCGTCCACGGCGGGGACGCAGCGACGATGACCACAGGCAGCCCAGGGGGGGTGGTTCAACCCCACCCCCCCCCTTCCCCCAGCAGCGCCGGCGCTCGCGCTGGCGACGGCGGGGACGCAGCGACGATGACTACCACTACTACCACCAACACCATTACCACCACCACCACCGCCTCAACCCACCACCACCACCAACAACAACAGCACCACGCAACCACCACCACCACCACAGCCACCACCACCACCACCACAACCACCACCGCAACTGACCATCACCACCACCACCACCACCAAAACCCACCACCACTACCACCACCACCACCACAATCTACCACACCACCACCACCACCGCCACAATCACCACCACTACCAGCAGCACAACCCACCGCCACCACCACAAACCACCACGCCACAACCACCACCGCCACAACCACCACAACAAACGTCTACAAACCACCGCCACCGCAACAACCCACCACCACCTCCACCACAAACCACCACCACACCACAGCCACCACCACCACCACAACCACAGCTCACCATCACCACCACCACCACGAAACTCACCACCACTACCACCACCGCCACCACCACCACAATCTACCACGCAACCACCACCACCGCCGCAACCACCACCACTACCAGCTGCACAACCCACCACCACAACCACCATCGCAACTCACCATCACCACCACCACCACCCAAACTCCCCACCATTACCACCACCACCACCACCACGATCTACCACGCAACCACCACCACCGCCACAACCACCACCACTACCAGCTGCACAACCCACCACTACAACCACCATCTCAACTCACCATCACCACCACAAACCACCACCACCAACGCCACCACCACAAACCGCCGCCGCACCACCACCAAACCACCCTCACCACCACCCACCGCCACAACCACCACCACCACATCAAACCACCACACCACCACCACCACAACCACCACCAACGCCACCACCACCACCACCACCACCACAACCCACCACTGCCACCGCCACCGTTGTCCTCGTCGACGCTTCACGCCACCGCCGCCCGCCGCCGCAGGCGCTGGCGCCGGCCGAGAAAATTGAAATCGTCGTCCCCGCCCCGCCGTCGCCAGCCGCCGCCGACCCAAGCGCAGCGCCCTCCCGAGGAGAGGGGAAGCAGGGAAGGGGGATGGAGGGGGGGTCTCGACCCCCCCCTCCATCCAGGAAGGGGGGGGGTCCGGTTCCAACCCCCCCCGCTCCAAGCGACCACAGAACGCGCTCTTTCTCGGGGCTCGATCCTCGACCGTCGGATCGAGGGCCCAAGACCCTCGGGCCCGAGATCAAAGATCCTCGGATCCGGGATCCTAGATGCTCGAAGATCCTCGGATCCGGATCGAGCCTCGACCAGCGAAACAATCGATCGATGGACGCGCCTCGCGCCTCGCGGCCTGGGCCCGACGGCGACGACGACGACGACAATCTACGATCGTCGAGGCCCACTCCTCGACGCTCGGATCGCGAACTCGATGGGGGGCGTTGGCATCGGTCGCGATGGCCCAGCAACGCGCGCCGACCGCCTCGGCGGCCGCCGCGCGCGCGTCCTTCGGGAGCGCCAGGTTCTCGATGGCCCGCCCGAGGTGCTCGTCGACCTCCAGGGGCAGGTCGTCGACGGGTTCGATCGTCTTCGCGGCCCCCTCGCCTGGACAGCTCGGCAGCGCGGGCTCGCGGCGATAGCCCGAGGGGAAGCGCGCCTCGCGGGGCGCCTCGGGGCCGGCGGGGAACTCGCGCAGCGCGGCCCCGATACGCTCGAAGTTGCTCGCGTAGCTCAATTTGGCCGCGCTCTCGGCGCCGAGCTCGGCGTCTTCTTGGCTCGAGCAGCGCGAGGCAGCAGCTCGTCAGCAGCAAGACGAGCTCGCCGAAGCGTCGGTGCTCTGGTCTTCGACGTCGAACGCGTCGAGCGTGACCATTGATTTCTCGACGCACGTCGCCCGCGAGATGGCGCAGACCATCTCGCGGCGGCGTTTGCCCTTCTCGGCGAAGATGCCCGCGCGCTCGACGGCCTCGACCTTGTCTTTCTGTGGCGCACCACGTCCGGGATGGTGCCTCGGGCGCTCTTGGACCAAATGGCGATCGCTCCGCGTAGGTGGCTGGTCGTCATCCGCGCAACTTCCGTTGCCACGTGCTGGCGCATCTCGGCCATGATGGCCTCCTCGCCGAGGCGGCCCACAAGGTCGATGAGTACCTCGTTCTGCCTGGCGTTCTTGGCGAGAAGCTTGCCCAACTCGGTGCTGTGGGCCTCGAGCGGCGCCTGCTTACAGGTCTGGTCACTGGAAGACGCCATTCTCGGTGGCGTGGACCCGCCAGGAAGGGCGATTGCTGCGGCGGCTAGGCAGAGCTTGGGCCTCGAACAGCTGCGGGGGGAAGGAACGGGGGGTGCGGGGAGGGAAAGGGGGAGGACGGGGAGGGGGGAGGGGAAGGAACCGCACGTCCGTGCTGTGCGGAACCGAAGCGATGAGATATCCACTTGTCCTGTCACGCGTTCGTGACTTGGGGAAGCTGATATGATCAGGAATCCACCGCACAGCTACATTTTCGGGAGTTGGGAAACCTGAACTTGCG